AACTCAGCGACTTTTCAGACCCCTCCAGCGACTATTTTTTTTAAAAAGCGACTAGCGACAAATCTGGCGACTTTTTACGGTGTCACTGGCGGCTTTTGGAGACTCTTACGTGAAAGCATGTATCGTTCCTACTCTGGTCCTCCAGCGGCAGCTGCTGCCGTGGGGCGCCTCCCCCATCCCAACGCCTTTCTCTCTCTCCCACAAGAATCCCTCTCAGCGCTGCAGTCCGAGCCGCAGGATTTTAGTGAGGAGTTTAACCTCAGCGTCCAGACTGCAAATGAAGCGCGCATGCCCCGGGATTGACGGCGCAAATTGATCACAATAATTAAAATAGCCTGCGCTTTGTAAAGTGAAAAAAGTCGTAACACGCGACTTTTGTAAAAACAAATAAACATGGCACGGAAGCACCACTGTTATGACGCAGCACCTGAAAAGAAAACATGTTGGAGCCTTCAATGGCAGTGAAGAGAGCTGATCAGCAGGATGAGTAACCATGTTTGTTTCATTTTAAAGTGGGGAAACGTAACATTAGTTTCTCAGGTAGCTCATCTGATGCTTTCCTTACCGTGTTAGTAGGTTACAGACAGTGATAAGGTTGGCTACTTATTTTACTTTTAATTTCATTTGAATTAGCTTAAGCAGCGTTTATATTTTCTTTATAAATAAATTAATTTGCAAATTATGAGGGCAAGGCTTTTAAAGTTTAAATCTTCTGGCAAAGATAAAGTAAAGAAGATCCTGCAATTTATGGAAGTAAAGCAGAATAAAATCCAGCAAGATCAGTAATATGTCAATTAATTATCTGCCACATTCCCATGTAAATATCTGTCTTTGGAGGATGTGTTTTTTAGCAACCCTAGTTCTCTCATTTTTATTCCAAATACAGTTTATAATTTGAATCACAGGGCTATTTTTATCTCTATGGTTCAGTATTTTCTCAAGTAGCAACTTTAACTGCTATACTTTCCTGTCTTAAAAGGCAGAACTCTTCTAGTCTAACAAAACCTCATTTGTTGAAATGGGGGGGCCTATTGTTGAACCCCTTAGGGGCTTTAAAAAACAAAAATGCCTGTCTCTTTTTGCGCTTTATGAAACAAAGTACCCTATATTTTGTGGATGTACAGCTACATTTCTCATGTAAGTTTGCGTAGTTTTAAAACAAACATTTATTTTTCATATTGCACCAGTACAGTTAATGAGAAACCTGTACTTGTGTGCTTGTTTGTTCTGTCTAAAATGTTTATTTTGGAATAAAGAGGTTAATATAAAAAAAATATCTTGTGTCCGATTCATCGATTAATCGAAAAAATAATCGGCCGATTCATCGATTTTCAAAATAATCGTTAGTTGCAGCCCTAAAATAAACACTTTTTTTTCTTTAGTTGATTTTAAGATGATGAACCCAATACTTCTGTTTAAACACCATTAGGGCTGTTTTGACTCATTTGTGCATCTTTTTTTATTTGTATAAAATCAATGTGCATTTATATTTCTTTTTCAGCTGTATTTTAGCTTGTAAAGAGCCTTGTGCAGCCAGCTGTAGCAAGCAAACATGAATTTATTAGAAGACATTTCTGTAGACCAAAGGCAGAGAGACACAAGCGTATCTAGGGGACTTCCTGGATACAAATTTTAGATATCTAAAAAAAAGTAAAAATTGGGTAGAATATTTAGATTTCTTAGAAAACTAATGAGGGGAACAAGCAGTTTATTTATTTATTAAGAGTGTCAGTTTTATTAATGAATACAGTGATTAAAATATGAGACCAAAGCATCAACTTATCTCACATATATTCCCAAACAGGTTTAATACACACCTGGGGTGTTTTTTTTTTTTTTTTTTGTAATAACTACCAATAAAGCAATTAAATAATATATTTGAGGTAATTTGTCTTATTGGAAAGGTAAAATTTGTTACAGGAACTGTTTATATCAAATCTTTGCTGTTTTATTTTCAGCTTGCTTCATAAGCACCTCAAGGAACTTTCTATAAGTAATGAGATTTGGTCAATTATTATTGCCAAGAAATGTTTTTACAAGTTAATTCAGACATATTTGGGGTTTTCTGAGAGTTCATAAGACCTAACTGTTCTATAGAAGCAGTGGAACCACAGGGAGTAAAAACACAATTTAAACTTTTCAGAATATAATACGTATTATTTGAATTAAATTAGATATGAGCTTTGAACATTTTAAAGTTCTGTATTATCAATAATTATGTCGTGTGCAATGGGATCTAACTTAAGTACAAAAAGATGTATATAAATCGATGTTCTCAATGGAAACTGAATATTTAACCATATTTTAATCTATAACCAATTTAAATTACAGGAAGTTTTTTTTCCTTTTTTCTGTCAAAAATAAATCAACATCCTAAATTTTATATATAAGCTATATTCTGCTTATATTTGGATTTACAGAAGAAAACTGACCACATCCTTTTTTTACTACAAAACATTTTCTTTCAAACATGGTATTTTTTTTACTGCTGTTTCCTCTTTATATTCTATCACCACATATAAAATAAATAACTTATTTCCACTCATACAACAGCAAAGAAAAAAAAGATCTGGTTATATGAATTTCATCTTCAAATATGCAATAAATTAAAAGCTGATTTAAAAGAAGGGGAAAAAAATATCCAGCAAGAAAAGTGACATTTTGCGTCAGTTTTTCATATTCATGACAGTTTTGTTGTCTCCACAAGTGCAACCATGTGACATCATGTGACATCACTGTCCATAGATGCTAAAGTGTAAAAACAATTTTTTAACACAAAATAAAAATGGCAACCTATTTTAAAAATACTAAATCTAGCTAACATTTTATATTGATTTATATTTGTTTATGTTTGCGTTTTGGTGAAAATGGATTTAAGGAAACACCTTTGAGGTAAACTAAGGAAACACTGCCTCTTATAGTCCAAGGTTTACGGTAATGGAGCAGATGTCTGTCAAGGGTTGAAAAAAAAATTGTTGACCTAGTTCGAATATCCTGAATATGAAATAAAAAAAATATATAAATATCTTCTCATCTAAGGAACAGCTTGAATATCACCACATATTTTAGAAAAGTAATCAGATTTTTGCTTTTTGTCAACATCTCGATAAGCAAATACCTCCTGCTGATGCGATCATCTTTGTTATTTTAAATGTAAACAGTACCAGTAACTCAATAACTTCCCAAACAGTGTAATAGAGATCAATAGCAGATAACAGATTTGACAAACAGCTGGGAAAACATAAAAAAAACAGTTGTCCTCCTGAAATTTATCACATCCTATTAATGATCTTACTTTCAAATCCAATAAACAATATTCCAAAAACTAGAAGACATAACAAATGATTAAAAAAGTAGATTTTCAAAAATAACAAATGGAAAATATGACTATCAATCATACTTTTGGTGAGTGAAAATAGGCTTGTCCCGATCCGATCCACGTATCGGATCGGGACGCCGATATTGGCAAAAAAATGCGTATCGGCAAAGCATGTAAAATGCCGATCCAGACTGCCGATCCAGTTTTTAAAAAAAAAATCTGGTCCGTATTTTCCAGTTTCGACGATTGAAACGATCTATTCGACTATTTTGCGCCAGTGTTTCCCTGTGTTGCATTTTTATTAAAACTTACAGTAATACTTGCACCTTTAACGGTTTTACTGTTCACTGTGCAAATTCAGATTGCTATTCATAATTTTGTCCAGTTTGTGTTTATCTCTTAATAAACAGGAAAGTTTGTTGTTACCAAGCATTGTGTTTTATTCAATCTCACCTAATTTAGCTGGCTAGATGTTATCAAGAGTACTAAAACCCTTTTCAACATGAGTCTTACAACTAAGGCTAAATACTTTAACTTAAACTTAAATACATGCTCGGATAGGCTGGTATCGGCCAGTATCGGTATCGGATCGGAAGTCCAAAAACAATATCGCTATCGGATCGGAAGTGCAAAAACCTGGATCGGGACATCTCTAAGTGAAAATGCTCAAAAACAGCTAAAAAGAAGGTTTTATTTTCAAAAAATCCACAATTATGTATTTATTATTACCGATTCTTCTGTAGTTTGGTTTTTTAAAGTCCTTTTTTAATCTACACATATAGCATGATAATTAATTACTAACTGACTAAATGCGGTTGGTTTAAAAGCTTCATTACTTCAGTGACAAGTTACTGTCTCTTTGAGTTTATAACATTTAAAATGGTCAAAAAATATGATATAGCTGTTTGTTTCTTGATGTATGACATCATTCAAGCCTTTTTCTTCATTTTATTTCTGCATTCAGGGTCAGATATGGAAATATTGAATGCAGGGGGCAAATGAGGCCAGCTACAAACATTAGAAGCTGTCTCACTGAGCAACAACAGAAACACCTTTATAATCCTCTGCATCACTTTACAAATACATTACACAACTCTTTCAGTTTCTATTATGAAAATGAACTTTATGTTGTTGCATCAAGTTTATGAGGTCATTACAGACTGATCTGGTCTTCTGTTGGATTGGTGGTATCAGTACTAGTAGTGCTACTTAAGCTCAGACAAATATCATTAGATTCTCATTAATTACTAAGGAGTAAAGAAAATAATCTGTTATAAAACTGTATTTATGACTAGATGGACATGTGATATGTGTATATGATAGAATAAATGAGGATGTTTCACATTACTTTCTACACAATAGCAATGATAAGGGGAATAATTAACTTCATTAATCATGTGGACAGCTTCTTGCCATGCATTCAGCCATAGATACCTACAGGCTTCATGTTCTGTCACATCTTCTGCATCCATTATATCCGCCCAAATGCATAACCGGGTTACTTAAAGCTCTTTGTTTGGAGCCAGTGCGCAGCTTTAACGCGCGCAGCTGCTGGCCTCTGAGGACGGAGAGCCAAACGGACAACAATGCGGCGCTGGTACGGCGTGGGAAGCGAGCTTCTGACACAACAGCGGCTAAAAGAAAGCAGGAAAAGGCACCAAGTGGCTCTGACATCACTCACCATCCGGCTGCTGAGGTATTTCTCCACTTCAGACAAACTTCGCACGGTGACGCTTACGCCGGGCATAATAACCTCCCATCTGGAGCCGGAGAGGCGCAGAGGGGCTTCAGTTGGATACTGGGAGCTGCTTCCTCCTCATGGCTGAACTCCTACTCATGTTGATCCATTTCTTTCTTTCTTTCTTTTTTCCTGTAGCCCTCTGTGTCACTGGGTTCGCACACGCTGACTGTACTCTGACACACAACTGTGCGCGAAGGCAAAACTCCGCCTGCTCCTCTCTGCAGAGAGGAGGAGGAGGAGGAGGGAGGGAGGGAGGAGGAGGGCTTAACCCTTTCAGCAGGCCTGCCTATCTGAGCAAGATACAGAAAACAACACCCATCCCCTTTAACTCATAAACATACGGAAGAGGATTAGGGCCACTGAAAAAACAAAAAAAGTTAACTGAATTTTTAATTTTATTTCAATATCATCTGAGGAAAAAAGTCAGAATTCTGACTTTAATCTCATAATTCTGACTTTTTTCTCATAATTCTGACTTTAATCTCAAAATTCTGACTTTTTTCTCAGAATTCTGACTTTAATCTCAGAATTCTGACTTTTTTCTCAGAATTTTGACGTTAATCTCAGAATTCTGATCCAAAACTCTTAGATTAAAGTCAGGATTCATAGAAAAAAAGTCAGAATTCTGAGGGGAAAAAAGTTAACTGATTTTTTTATTTTAATTCAATATAATATGGGGGAAAGTCAGAATTTTTTCTCAGAAATCTAAATTTAATCTCAGAATTCTGATCCAAAACTCTTAGATTAAAGTTAGGATTTTGAGAAAAAAGTCAGAATTCTGAGGGGGAAAAAAGTTAACTGATTCTTAAATTTTATTTCAATATAATATGGGAAAAAAGTTAGAATTTTTCCTCAGAACTCTGACTTTTTAATCTCAGAATTTTGGATCTTAATGTAGATGGGCACCATGAAAGAAGAGATGTTGGAGCACTCGGCTTCACTGACAAACATGTGAGTTGTTTGGGAGGAACAGTAACACATTGGTGAAAAACTGCGAAATTAGGTGACTTTTTACGGGCCTGAGGGGTCCCTGGTGATACTATTTCATTAACTGAAGAGCAGAAGGTCATTAAAACAAGAGAGCTAGTTTAGTCTTTAAGACAGACCTGGCTACGGCTTTATGCACATGTTAGTTAGCTGTCAGAATTCTGTCAAAATTCTTAAAAATAAGTCAGAAATATGAGATTAAAGTCAAAATTCTGAGATTAAAGTCAGAAGTCTGGGGGAAAAAAGGCTGAATTCTGAGATAAAAATTGGAATTCTGACTTTTTTCCCATATTAAACTGAAGTGGCCATAATCCTCTTCCGTATAAACATTTGGTCACAGTTTACAATATTTTAGTTGTGTTTTCTTTCATACAAAGAGATATAGTGCTGCAAAATTGTGCATTGGACTAAGATTTATTTTGTCATTCTGTATACACAATTGTAAACAAAAATTAATTTTGTTTAGAACAGCTCTCTAGACAATTTCATTTTGTAAAGTGCAGATTGGAACAAAGTAACATGATTTTTAACTTTAAAAAAAGTTGTAACCCCTTTAAGCCTGAATTGATATACATGTACATATAAAAAGACATTTTGTGTGTGTTTTTCCTCCTTCAATGAGATGACAAATTTAAATAGTTAATGTTACTAAATAAATAGAAATGAAGCTAAAATATATTTTGTAACAGCAGTTATAACTACATAATAATATACACTGTGACTAGCACTGGGGTGATGCAGAAACTCTATGGCAGCTGTTTGCCTACACTGCTAAAATATTCTGGAAATGATTAAACATGTCTTAAAATAAGTGTATTTACCCTTAAAGGAATAGTACACCCAAAACATGATTAGCCTTCATTTTCTACTCACCCCCATGCTGAACAACACTCTGGAGTACTTTTTTGATATCTCAAATGCATCTGGAGATCTGGGAGGCTTCTCGCTGTCTGCTGACATTCAAATAATGGAGGTCTATGGTGACCGAGGCAGAAAGGTCCATAAAAGTCCACAAAAAACGTGTCAATATTCCTCCATACTGCTCGTCCAATGTATTCCAAGTGTCCTGAGTGGGTAGCATCCAGAATTTACTCGAAACGAAGTCATTTAGAATGTTTTTAGAGCATAAACAGTAGTGTATAGGATTTCCTGAAAGCGCGCACATGCGCGCTCACGAGCCTACGGAAGCCGGCAGACCAAACCAGATGAAAGTGCGCATTCAGCGTCTGCTCTGCCGATAATGCAAGCGTAGAAGAAGAAATGTGCTGTTTACCTGTGCAAAGAAAGAAACAACGAAAGAAAAATGTCTGAGGACTTCAGTGTTGAGGAAGAGCATGAGTTCTTCGCCGAGCTGAATGCGCACTTTCGTCTGGTTTGGTCTGCCGCGGTTTCCGTAGCGTCGTGAACGCGCTTTCAGGAAAATGAAGGCTAATCATATTTTGGGTGTACTATTCCTTTAATATGACTAGGAAAATAAGATGATCTGCCAATGCAATGAGCATTTTTACCCTTAAAATAAGATAATTAGATATTATGCACATGAAATAAGAGACTGCAGTTGTTATTTTCTTATTTCAAATTTACATTCTCTTATTCCATTGGCAAAGTGTCTCTCTTACCTGCTCAATTCAATAAAAATATTCTCTAATTTTAAGAAAAATTGACTTACTTAGATTTATATTTTTTGTAGTGTAATACAAGGGGTTTGTTGCTTATTAACAACAACAGGTATCAAAGGGCTAAATTAAAATTAGGGCTGCAACTAAAGAATATTTTTCTTAATTGATTAAACTGTCGATTTTTGATTACCGGTAATCATCAGTTTATAGGGCACCCAGAAAATCAACATTCGATAGTGTTATTGGAATCCAGAATAAGAACTTATTACCTTTGGGACATTTAAAAAACTTTGGATATTTTGATGACAAAACTTAATGTTGATGTAATAACAAGAAACACCAACTTGTTAAGAAAAATAACAAAAGTGCTTCCATTTTTGGTACAACATATCCTTAGAGTGATTAATGCTAATACTGACACTTACATCTTTTAGTTCATAAATTAAACATAATTGTTAACTAGGCTTATTAACTTTTTAAGTTTACTTTTTGACTTTTCAATTCGGTTTTTTACCTTTTTTTTCGTAACTTACAATTTAATTTAGAGTATATGTCCTTCAAGGGCTTATCTAATTGGTCAAATTCCAAAATAAGATGTACACAGAATTTAAACCAACTGGACCTAAAATTGAAGGCCCTTCTGAATAGAGTACATTAATAAATTAATTTTCATCTTGAATGCAAAGTGTTAATATATATTTTCTACAATTTTGGTGTAATACCTGCTTTGAGTGCATTGCTCTTTCAGCTAAAGGCACGTTTTAGAGTCTCTATGCTTATGTTAACGATTAATCAATTACTATAGTAGTTAATGATTAGTTAAATTAATCATGATTCATCTGATTAACTGTTTCAGCCCTAATTTTAATCAATCATCTGAAAATTGAAAATACCACGAGTAGAAACCTATTGTGTTGTAAAATTGCCAACATAGTAAATTGAAGAAACTGCCAGATCTGTGGTATGTGAGGAACAAAACAGAAAAACAGCTGTTAGTCCTTTACTTTCATAAAAAAGCCATTGATTAAGAGCAGATTTGCTGCTATACATGTAGGGAAACATAAAAGAAGGTGAACATGGTTAACTTTATACATGGCAAAGAAAAATTTAGGAAAAAGCAATTTCCTTAATGATACATGGAGGTGGCAGCGTCAAGTTTTTCTTCTTGTGGGACAGCGAAGCTGTTAGAGAGTGGGACGGGGGTGGACGTTACAGCAGGACAACGACCCCAAAGGGCAACATAGTGCATCCCTGAGTTATAATGGCTCAAAGTCCAAGACTAAATTCAATGAAGTTAGTTTAGCAAGACTTAAAAAATCCTGGTTACAAAGAAATTTCCATCTATTGCAGCTACTTTGAATGAACCTATAATGTGTAATATGTGAGTCCCTAAAAGCAAAGCTGGTAGGTAAAAAGACTCTCATCTATAACTGCAATAAAATGTCCTAAAAAGATCAAGATTGATCATAGGCAGATCACAACATACACTAATTCAGTTGTAAAATCCCACTTTAAAACATCAGTGTTTTGCTGTGTTTTGCATTTTTTCAGGGAGATTGTATCAAAAAAAAAAAAAATAAAATAACGTGTTACAGTTTATTAAAAATACTCAGCTGCATTGTTTAACTATTTATGAGTTTTTATGATGATGATATAGATTTGACAATCATTTTTCTTTCGGTTGTTTTGAAACATTGGGAAACAGAATAAAGCTACTTTCAAAAAAACAAACAGAAAGCAGACGAGTCATTTCTCCTCTGGAACACGGTATCCATTCACAGAGTCCTTTTACTACTCTGACCTGTTTTGGAAGATATGAGCTTATCATTAATGTTTGTAGTCATGCATGAGCTGGTTTCTGAATGCTTATTTTATCAGGAAAACTATGAAGTCTGCTACTAACTTCCACCAACTGCATTGTTTATTTTATCCATTTCTAATCTTTCATACACAGCATAAAAATAGGAAGTTGTTCCCTCTTATTTATCAGAGGTGTAATTTGGATTAATAATTAGTTATATATTGAGTGTAAAAGCCATAACTTTGAGAAGATTTACAAAAAAAACTGGAGGACTGTTTAGAAATACCCATGGTGATGGGAATTTATGTGAAACTATGAAGGAGGTACGATGAACATCTTGCTAATTTTGCATTTTAGCATCGCAATGCTTGATCTTTACAAAAACCAATGACCAATATTGCTAACCTGTGAATTATCTCGGATTAACAATGATTCTTGAAAGACAGAGTTAATTGTTTAATAGTTCCTCCCAGGTCTTGTCAGTAAAAAACTTGTTTTAAAACATAAAGTAAGCTGAAAGATCCCAAAAAATAATTCCAAGAGTCCATTGATTTCTCATCCAGGAGGTCAGAACAGAACCACAAATAATGTCTGAGGCATGTGAGCCCTCACTGGCCTTAGTTAATGTCATTGTTCATGGTTCAACAATAACTGATAAACTGAACAAAAACAGGACAATCTCGGGGAAGGGCTTAACGCTGAACGAAAAGAAAACAAAAATCCTTCTCACCAATGACAGAT